TTTTCTCTTGTTACACATGTCTCTTTCGTTTTCTTCGGTGCTAATTTCACCGCATTTGTTTGATGTTTATTGCAGGGCACTCGCCGGAGGAACAGTCGTGTCCATTGCTAACAAGAGCCTCCTTGCACCAGCTGTTGAAATTCCGGTGTTGCGGGCCCACTGAGAACGCCATGTTTGGAGCGGCGCGGCGGTCCGTCGTCCCCTGGCTCCATCTGTGGAATCTCGGTGAACAGTTTTCTCTTGTCGCTGCAGACCCCACACTTCTGCCAGGATATCGTCTCGGACACGGCCAAACCTCGACGCTCCCCGGCCAGCATCTGGCGTCAGCGTGGGGCGGCCATCACAATCTGGATGTTCCCGTTGGTGATCTACGATAGCCTGCATGCCCGAGTCGACTGCAGAATTGAAGTAGACAAACTGGTATGTCGCGCAGACACCTCCTTCGGACTGATCAGCTGAACCCTGGCACTAGACTTCTGCACTTTTCTTGTGTTGGAGGTTGTCAAGAGGAGAAGTCTCTGCAGCTTTTGAACGGAGCAGCATGACATCCCTTGCCGGCACTGCATTGGGCGTGGTGCAAAAGAGCCCCCATTCATCTCTGGAAACAGCGAGTTCCATCTGCTGTTGTGTTGGCCTTATGTAGGCTTTCGGCGAGTCCAGCTTTAGTCGACTGTGTTTGGGCTAACATTTTGCAGGGGACAAATTATTGCCTATCTGGAACCAACTTGTCTTCCTTTTGTAGACTGTACGCCCCAAGCGATCCATTTTGCTGCAGAAATAGCTAACACTGCAAGTTCGTGCAACTGTTTCCTCTGTGTGACCATTTGGCACAATAAGTGACTCTTGCGGTAGAACCCCAGCATGATGGCCAAAGCACAAGGGAGTTTATTTCTTTTGTTATTTTATGGGAGGGTGGGTGTGGCATGGGGGGTTAGAGAGAGAGGAACGTGGGTCTCAAGAAATCTTTGGAGACAGTAATAACCAAGCTTGGACAATGAAGACTGGGCAGTGGAGAGGGCTCGGCCAAGGAGTCATTGTACAAGTTGTCAATAAATCTTCATCTTGGAGTTGGAGGCAAATGGACAACCACATCTAAGAATTAATACATGTCATCAACGGCCCATTGTGCGCAGTTGTAGATCTTCCAAGAATGTCACTTGTTACAGTAAACTTTTAAAAATGGCCTGTAATGTAGAGAGGCAAAATTTCTCCCAATTTGATATGTGGGAAGGACAAAATAGAGTGCCCTCGTGAAGCCCACTCAAGGCATGCAAGAGTCCTGCTTTCCCATTGTTAAACACTGGGAAACACCATCGCCACATCCAACAGTTTGAGCCCTGTGGTTTCTCTCTAATTTATTTGCAGCGGTGCACCCCTCACTGAAGAAACGCGTGGGTGCACAAGATGGAGGGCGGCGTGTCCTGTCCAGTTTTTATCAATATCAAAGGTTATGGTGGAAGCAGCATAAGATTGAAGTGACCGACACCCGTGTATATACCATACACATGTACGTGTACATGTACATGTATGTATCCCAGACAGTTGTGTAATAACAAACACGCGCGCAACGTAAGCAGACAACGCGTAGAGCCGTTTTCCAATACACGACTTCGTATCCTGTACATCGTCACCAAAATCGATTTCCTACTGTAGGCCTGAAGTGCTGAAACTAAATTAAAGTACTACTATTTGTTGATCTTTTGTATCTTATTCGATGTTTCTGTGATACGCTAGCACGTACTTTTGAGCTAACAACTTCAAAGTCAGGTGTTAAAAAACAGATAGAGCCTAGCAGGTACGATATATCGAGTATTGAAAAACGGCTTTAGCTACAGCCGGCCGGTATACGGTGTGCGGAAAGCGTGTACCCCCATCGCTTAATTACGTGGTATGATCGTGACTTCGATTGTGACAGAACTTGGTGAAAAATTTGTTAAGGGTTGTGACAGAAACTAAAGATATTTCAGCATGTCTTTTGTCACAAAAGTGATTCACAGGGGTCTCACCACATCGGCATTGAGACTGGCAGCAATAAAAAATGTTACTGTCGTCGGTGGTGGTCAAATGGGAGCAGGAATAGCACAGGTAAGCACCACCAAAATGTGGAAACTTTTTGGGGGCTTGCAATTGCCAATGCTGGCAGTGAAGCTGGGTAGTGTTGGTCTGTTCAATGGTTTTATCAATGGTTTTACTAGGCTTCATGCAGTTTTTGGCCGAATCCTAGTTAACTCGTACGTGTCAAGTCGTACGTGCCAACGCGGATTCCGACCAACTTGTACATGTACGCCAAATTGTACCATTACAATTTACATGTAGGCTTACTTTATGTTATTGTCAGCTGATAGTACGACACGTGCGAAGACATGGAAGATATGTGTCGTTGTGTTGCCCTTGCCCTGTTGGATCCCCCCCCCAGCTTGACGCCCACCTACATGACGTACATGTACTGCTACTAGTCTGGCAAAAACTAATGTCAATGTATCCTGTTGTGTCTTTAAGGGAATATACGTGTATGATGTAGGCCTAGGCCCTATGTGCTGACCAGTCTTAAACATGTACGTTTAAGACCAGTCAATTGAACGGCTAGCAGTCACTTGTTTTGTTTGTCTGCTTCGAGTCGACTCGTACCTTGGATGACTTGTACTTTAGATGACTCATAATGGGCAACCT